CATGTTGCCTGTCAATGACAATGTCAAGCCTATCTCGTGGAACTGGAAGCATATCAATTATCATACAAAAATAGGGAGTACGAGTCAACCAGTCATGCCAGTTGACCTTATTCAAATTCAGGCATTCCTCTTCTTTTTCTTCTTCATTAAGTTCATTATTGGAGTTGTGATCGCCAAACAGCAGCCAAAGTCAATACCAAGCAAATCAGGTAAGTGAAAATTAAAGCCATGCTCATTTTTTAGGTCAACAAATTACAAATACAAAATTACAAGTCCATGATTGGGCAGGATTTTCTTTAAATTAGAAGTTAAAGGTTTAGTATTTTCTCCAAAGTAGGCCTACACATGATGAATCATGAATGAACACCTGCAAAAAGATAAAGTTTTATTTTCATAGAATAAACATTCTTTACACCTTGTTAATTCACACAGACACTGTCAAACATAATTTTGAATAATATTTTACTTTCAAAGATCCATCAACAGATCGTGGTTTGCTCAGCTTTACTTTGAGAGATTCACCCATGGATTTCATCAATGGCACATGCTGGGGTTCTGAGCTATACATACGTGACCTAGCCACAAAATTCAAGATTGGGGACATTGGTGAGTAGCCTACTCATCTTGAAGAAAACAAACGAACAGCATTTGCTGTGTTTAGTTGGGGGAAAAAAACAAAAAATCTTTAAAAAAAAAAAGGTTCATCTGATAAAGAACATAATTTATATGTAATGATGTTATTTTATCTGACATATGATTCTTAGTTTTTGTTTTCAATGTTTTAGTTGATTTACCTATTCTTGCCAGTTTGGACTGGGTTGTATTTCTGAATTAAATACAATATCTCAATCTGATTAATTTGAATAGTTGAGATTCGAAATCCTCAGATCCAGAGCAAACAGAACACAGAGCAAGAAGAGCGCTACAGACCCTGGACTCCAAGGTAAAGTCATCCTCCATTTGACTTTATAGTAGCAACAAGAACCTAGAGTCTGAATTGTGACTAAAGCAAGATCTTTGCACAGTTTCATTCTCAAAAATGTGATGACATCAATCTGAATGCAGAAATTAAGACATTGTGGTATTTAATCGCAATTTTTCATGTGTTGTTAGTTTTTTAATCTAAATGTCTGTTTATTTTATTTTTCCATTGACATACATATTTCTGATAAAAGAACATCATTGTTTGATTGAAAATATTTTTGCGAGTAAATTCCTTTCCTTCTTTTCTTTAATTTTCCTACTGACACCTTTATTTCTGATGGTGAGAAATGACTGTCCATATTTTTTGTGTTCCAATTCCCAGCCAATACCAACTAACTCTAAGTGAGAAGTATTCCACACTGAGCCTGTATGGAGGATGGAATGTGGAAATTTACAATCCTCTCCAGCATATCCCAATCCGTGAGAGTGACAATTACTACACGTTGGCTGATGTGATAGCAAATGGACAAAGCTTACATGGGGAACACATTAATGTCATGGTACTTCTCAAAAAGGTGAGTGTTTTCATCTTTGTTAATATCCTCTGTATCATTGTAATTGTCATTTTTATTCACGTCATTGCTATTAATGTCAGCACCACTACTGTCCTCTTTTGATTATTTTCATTATTGTTTTCATTACATTGAACCATCTTTATCATTTTTATCATTGGCAACAAATAACTGTTTGAAATGGTACCTCCTATAATTGAATCACTTGGATTTGCAAGAATTTAAAAAAATGTGATTTTGTGTATCATTTTTTTCTTCAGAATGGGATCCCAAAGGACATTGTGACAAAGACTGGTAAAAAGATGCAACGATGCGAAGTCAAAATGTATGATGAGACCTGCCACTCCTTTTCACTTGTTCTGTAAGTCAGTTAAATAATATGTTTTGATTGAGACACCTTACATGGGTTTTGAGTTGTTCATACAAACATTCTCAAAAATAGACAATTATTCAATTGTTACAAGCTTAAATTTTAATTTTGATATTTTCAAAATCATTTTTTAGATGGGACACAGAAAACATAGAGCTTGTCCAACGTTGGAGTCCAAATGAGACAGGTGATTATGATTTGCTGTTCACATTTTGTTCACAACAAATGACAACAAAAAAATGTGGTATTTGCCTTGATTTGGTTTTTCTTTTTAATTTCTCCTCTTTTGATTACCTCCTTTAGTTGTGTTTGCAACTGACATCATGGTGAAGTATGACAACTTCCGGTCATGCATGATGGGAACGGTTGATTCCAAGACAATTTTCATCACTAACCCAGGTATTAAGGAACCACCATGATCTGCAGTTTTGTCTCAGATGTCAAGTTTCATATTAATTGTGATGTGGAAGAATAAAAACAAGCTACAATCCCCATCTTGGTATTAATTGAGTTTGGGTCGGGGCGTGCACACATCCTTTTCAATTTGACTAGAGCTAAGAACCTGAACTTAAGCACACAAAAAAGAAATAAAACCAAATCATATACCCTTTTACTGTAATTTTGCAAAGAGTGTTCATAAAGAAATGATTTATCAAACAAATTAATTTATTCTTTTACATTTGGTAGACACACGTGAAGCACATGCTCTGTTCAAGTTTGGCCAGTCACGTGATCCAAATGAGGACCAATTAGATGAGGACTCAAGCAGACCAGATACTGATTGTAAGCAGAGAAAATATAAGTTGGTTGCCATTCATGGTATTAAGAGTGGAGATTGTAAGAAAGCACACTCACTTTTTAATCAAATAAGCAACAGGGTATTACAAATGGAGAAAGAAGGGCAAGGCCTTGATATATACAAAGAATGGGTCATTGATTAAGAGTGCTACACCACTGCAAAAAGTAAAGCAACTCGTCAATTATTGTTGTGAAAAAAATATTTTGGCTGCAAAAGTTGTAGACCGTAAGAAACACTTAAACAAACTTGAGAATTACAAAATGAAATTGATAAGAAGTGATGTGGATGCGATTAAAAGTTTGCCCTTTTGCAGAAACATTTGGGCTTATAGACAGATAAAGCTTCATCAAAAGAACAAGCAAACACAAACAAACAAAATCTGATTTCTTTCTTGTCAGTGAGTAACATCAAGGAGGTCTACAAAGTGGATCAGATCAAATGTCTGGCTGCAGAAAGACCAGACGGCTCAAGTGGCGTTGATTATGGCATCACCTATGTCTTCCTGGCAGCGTTCGACATTGACAACAGTTCAAAGAACTGTGTCTCTATGAGATGGTGAGGCTTAGTGTCTTATTTGTAGGTTTTTCCGTGCAGTTTTTGTCATTGTGTTTCTTTTGATATTCTTCAATTCCAGCATTTGAAAGCCACATCAGCCGGCTTTCTTACATGCATCACCCATGATATTTTGATTTGTCCTCATCTACAGTTCAAGTTGCAAGCGCCGTGTCGACAGCACCAGCTTCACGTGCACCAACCCCAACTGCCCGTCCTCTGTCTCAGGTCAAACAGAGACGGTCATGACCTTTGACATCTTGACTGACCTCTCAGATGCCACAGGCACACTGAGTGGATGCTACCTGGGTGGAACCCAAGCTGAAGAAATGTTGCAATGCACGGTAAACAACAATACAACATAAATACAACATAAACAAAACGATCAAGATTAAGGAGTTAAATTGAAAGGCTTCTTCACTCCAAGAAGTTTACACACTTTGTTTGCGAGAAGTATGATGGACTGGGACCTATGGAAATTATGGAAATACGTTTATATAGGGTTGGGATGGTTGAAATCCTTCAAAATCTCTCACATATTTGGTTTAAACAGCAGATACTCAGGTTAAAGTCACCCCTCCATAAACTAGTTATATTTGTGTTTTAAAACCACTCAAAAAACTGAATAGCATTTGTGGAAAGGTGGCTCAGTTTGTAATGGAAAATTTCATATGTAGCACGATATGAGACGGAGGGACCCCCCCCCTTCCTTTGTGTTGGTCATTGTTTTCCAAACTCAAGAATTTTTTTGAGATATCTAGGGGGATGAGTCTGGTAACAAAAGTCTAGGGTGTGTATAGGGTATAGGGAGATGGGGGGGGTACCCCTTCATCTCATATCGTGCTAGAAATAGAACATTTTGTGGCCTTCTTGAGGAATTTGCCATTTACATCGGTGACGATTCTTGTACTCTTCCAACATTCCAGACTGATGAATTTCTGCACTACACAGAGCAACAGAAGACCGATCTTAAGTGGAGGTTCCTGCTGGAAAGATGCAAGCTGTACTTCAAGGTAAACAATTCACAATCGTCTGTAGATGGTTAGAGAGCCTGGTTAGGATTGACGTTTTCAAAGTGGAGACACAACAAAAATTACATTTCACCAATTATGCTCTATTTTCTCCTATTGTTCCCCTATTCCGCACTCAGAATACAGTGAAATCTCAATAAGTCAAACTCTGATGTCTCAAAACTGTTAAGTGAATCCATTGCCTTTAGTAATACAACCCTGTTTAACTCAAAACTCTGCTTAGTCAAATTTTGAACCAGTTCCCTTGAGGTTTGATTTATCAAGATTTCACTGTGTGTGATTCTGTCAGTTATTTGATCTCACTGTTTAAAATACAGCTATGCTGGGTCAGGTGATCTGTTGTATTTTCTTCACTTGCTGTGTCGTATTTATCTCCTTTTTCCCCCAGATTTCCAGGTACGGAGTGAATAGTTCTCGACGCATTGTTCGCATTCTCTCCTGTAGTCTCGCTGATCCGACTGAGATTCTGCCACATCTCTAGACAGGAATGGATTGAGCAGCAATGGTAGGTGGAACCGACTGCCATTAAGTTTGTCTCCCCCTCCCCTTCATCCCCCCCCCACCAATTAAAAAAACCCAATTACATCAAACTACTCAAAGACCCTATAAGACCTCATGATGTTCTTTGTATTTTACATTCTTAAAATACTTTTATTGTGAAAAAAAATGTCAAGCTTGATATAAGAGACTGGATATCTGCAGCACAGCTCACTTTCTTTTATCAAATATTAACGAATATTTATTGAAAAATATGTTGTGATAAAATGATAAACATTATTTATTATCCAACTACAGTAACAGTTGATATATTTGTTAGCAAAGAAAAAAAATAGTAAATTCCACTATTTATATGTAAAATAATACAAAAATATTTTAAATTTTCACTGTAAAAAGGTAAACTGCCTTTTTCGTTCTAAGTTGTACGTAAGACTGATAGTGATACTTCAACCTTTTCATATATTTTACCTTGCTCTATTCCTTATTCTATTTGTTCATTCTTTCATTTAAAATTTAACCAAGATTCAACAGTAGACCTTTACAAATACTTATTGCAAACATTTGTTGATGCAAGTACAGCACAAATGTAGGCACAACAGTGGTTTGAACACAAATCAACAATAACCTAGCTTTCTGTTAGTACGTGATATTTAAAGGGCAATTCTGTTGATAATATGTCAAAGATTTTGAATGTTTACAATCTACATGCCGTTCAGTACTTTAAACATTATAGTTTTCATTTAACAGACTAAAAATAAATACATTTGTGTGAATGTCAAAATTGCTTTTAATTCTAAATGCTACATCCCTCCATGTTTCACAGTGTTTACATGTCGGTGAAGGGCAAAACCTAATATTGATTTACATCACCCCAACGGAAAATTAAATCTTGTGAATGTTTTACACTTATAACGAAAATTAGATTTGTCAAAACCATTTACTTTATGAAAATACATTCAAATATTAGCGCAATTGTGACAGATTTTTGATAAGGCAAAAAAAAAAGTTCTGCTTCCGATTGCATGGCATTTTAAAATTGGGTAGGTAATTTTGTTTTTGTAGGCGTTTTTTTGTTGTTGATCATATGCAGGTGTCTGCGTTATTTTTTTTTTTTTTTGGCCTTAGGATACACATCTCCAAACAACATAAATTAACTTGCTGCAATTATGAAGCATATTCCAAGGATCAGATATTGAAGAATGGTTTTGCCATAACAAGATCAACATTTGACATTGAATCTAAATTTAACAACATCAGAAATATGCTTAAAAACAAGCCTTGAAAATGTCTGGCATCTAATCCACCTCCTCCACAGTAGGTCCTTGTTGACAGCCTCCACCAGTACCCTGCTGGTTCTCTGGCTTCCCTGCGTTGTATAACTTAGCCATCACAGGTGAACACACCTTCTGAAGTTCCTCTAGTTTGTATTGATACTCCTGCTTATCAGCCAGATTGTTGTTATCTAGCCAAGCTAGAGTCTCCTTCAAAGAACTCTCTGCTTTTTCCTTGTCCTCGACTGCTATCTTGCTCTGCAAAGCTTCTTCATTGAGGGTTGATTTCACACTGAAGATGTAGTTCTCCAAGTTGTTCCTTGAAGTGACGCGTTCTCTTTGAGCCTCATCTTCGGCCTTGTACGTCTCAGCATCTGACACCATCCTATCGATGTCTTCCTTGGACAAGCGGCCTTTGTCATTGGTGATGGTGATCTGGTTGCTCTTGCCAGTACTCTCATCTTTAGCCGAGACGTTGAGTATACCGTTAGCATCAATGTCTAAGGAGACTTCAATCTTGGGTACACCGCGAGGAGCTGGAGGGATGCCAGCTAGCTCAAAGATGCCCAGACGATTGTTGTCTTTTGTCATAGCTCTTTCTCCTTCATAGACTTGGATCGTAACTGCAGGCTGGTTGTCAGCATAGGTGGTGAATGTCTTGGATGTCTTGGTTGGGATGCGGCTGTTTCTCTCGATCAGTTTGGTCATGATACCCCCAGCAGTCTCAATGCCAAGTGAAAGAGGAGTAACATCCACAAGAAGAACATCTTTGACCTCTGCACTCTGGTCACCACTCAAGATAGCTGCCTGTACAGCAGCTCCATAAGCTACTGCCTCATCTGGATTGATGGATCTGTTCAAGTCTTTTCCATTGAGGTAATCTTGCAACAGCTTCTGAATCTTGGGGATTCGTGTGGAGCCTCCAACCAGCACAACCTCATCGATGCGATTCTTGTCAACTTTTGCATCCACCAATGCCCGCTCTACTGGGTTAAGGCACTGACGGAACAGATCAGCACATAGCTCCTCAAAGCGAGCTCGGGAGATGGATGTGTAGAAGTCAATCCCTTCAAAGAGAGAGTCCACTTCAATACTTGCTTGAGTGCTGCTTGAGAGAGTTCTCTTGGCTCTCTCAGCAGCTGTCCTCAGTCGACGGAGGGATCTTGGATTTGTGGTCAAGTCCTTCTTAAACTTCCTCTTGAATTCTCCAGCCAGGTGGTTGACAAGACGATTGTCAAAGTCCTCACCACCAAGATGAGTATCGCCGGCCGTGGAGAGAACCTCAAACATGCCATCCTCAATAGCCAGGACAGACACATCAAAGGTGCCACCTCCTAGATCAAAAATCAGAACATGCTTCTCCCCTTGCAGTTTTTTGTCCAGTCCGTAGGCCAAGGCGGCAGCTGTGGGTTCATTGATGATCCTGAGAACATTGAGACCAGCAATCACTCCGGCATCTTTGGTAGCTTGTCTCTGGGAATCATTGAAGTATGCTGGTACAGTGATGACAGCATCTGTAACCTTATGCCCAAGATATGCCTCGGCTGTCTCCTTCATCTTAACCAGCACCATGGAGCTGATCTCTTCTGGAGGGAAGGTCTTAGCCTCATTCATGTACTCAGCTTGCAGCATGGGCATCCCTTGTTTGTTGATCACCTCGAAGGGCCAGTGTTTCATATCTGCTTGGACCGATGCATCATCAAACCGACGGCCAATCAGACGTTTAGCATCAAAGATTGTGTTCACTGGATTCCTGTAGCAAGACCAAAAAAAAAAGACATTTCAGATTAATAATCGTCAACTAACAAAGGTCAAGTAACTTTGAAAATTGGTATGAAACCACAGAGTTAAAGACCAAAGTTAAAAAAAAAACAGGTAAAAGTTTTGCAAATTGTGAAACAAACAAATCAAACCATTATCCTTTAAAAAAAAAATTCCAATGATCAAAAAATTCTAAATTCTAAATTTTTCAAAATTTCTATTGTACATCAAATATTCAATTTGTTTGAAAGTTTTAGTCAGACATTACATTTTGATTCAACACTTTTTCAAGTGGATGATCAGGGAATCTTTTGAATACATCCAGTAAATTCAGAAGAAAAATTAAAAAGGAAATTGAAACTTACATAGCAACTTGGTTTTTGGCGGCATCTCCAATAAGTCTCTCCGTGTCGGTGAAGGCGACATAACTGGGTGTGGTACGGTTGCCTTGTTCATTGGCAATGATCTCCACTTTGCCATTCTGGAAGACACCTACACAGGAATACGTCGTGCCTAAGTCGATGCCAATAGCTGGGGTTTTAGACGGTGCCATGGTCGATAATGTGAGGCTAAGTTGTGGTGATAGTACGATGAGCGAGTGTGTAGCGTAAACAGGACGGGATTCCGGTTGTTCTCTCTGGTATTGCCAGTGGTACAGCTGCGGTAGGTTACTCGGTAGGATATCTCTGCTGTACTGCAGTATGAAGAACAATTTCCAATCTTGCTTGGTCTCGCCATTTCACCTGTTTTTATGCGATTTTCGAGTTTTCTCGAAAGTTCTGCCATCAGCGCGAAGCTCCAACTTTAGCTCATCATTACGCCGCAATCATGCCAAAATGCATGAGTCATGTATCGAGAAACTTCCAGGGATTTCCCCGAAACGCGTGCATAGCGCCCTCTATAGTTGAAATCTCTTTAAAAAAAAAAAAAAAAAAAAGTTCGCGAACCTTTGAATTAATAATTGTCCACGCTATAATACTTAAGTTTAATTAATTTAAAACTGGAAGAAATTCCACAGTCGTACAAAGAAATCTTTGAGACTGATTTCAAAAAGGAAAAAAAATGCAACTGTTGAAGGGAAAAGGGGCAATTTATTTCATTAAACATGTATATTTTTAACCCTTAAAAGTGTTTGATATTTTGACAAGTTTTTCACAGCCTCTGGCCCAGATCTCAGCCATGGAATGACAGATTATTCAAAGACATCAGCAACGTATCTAGAACTGTCCTTTACAAAACAAAAGTGGGATGAATTCAAATTTAATACGAATAATGTTTTAAAAAGAATATTTATGATCTCTTGAATAGATTGTTATGTGCCAGCCCCCGCCCCCTCGATATTCCCACCGTGCTTTGTCGATTCCACAGGGATCGTGTCATATCCCCAGCCCGTATAAACGTATCATTCTGTGAAAATCTGCGAAATCGTACCCTCTTATTAAATAAATTCATTTGAAGTCGCATCAATAATCACATCAACATAAAAATCGTAACACATTCTTTTTGTGCAAACTTAAAATTTATTGTGTTCCTTCTGCGACCATTTTACAAAATTCAACATAACTTCATTATAATTAATTGGATTAATACTAATAGACAATCATATTTTACACGCAAATTTAAGTTAGCACTTTTAGTTGTCTGTTACATTTGTGACCATATGTACCATAAGGTATTCCGGTATTTTGTTTCCAAATCGACATCAGGAAGATCATCTTTCATTGTTACCCTAGCAACGGGTCATTCCGTAAGTGATGGGACTGGGGAACACACGCGGTGTTTTTTTTATGTCGTCGGGCCGTCGGCTGGCTGGATGGATACACAGTGCATACATGCTGATTCGGGCATTGCACTGTACCCGCGATGAAATCGGTAATTAAGCATATCGGTGGCACTGGCTGGCCTCCGTAATATAATCAGCAACCACGCTCCAGGAAATGATGGAAGGTATAGATATAATACATGAGAGCATTTTTCATCAAGATAAAGCAAGTCCCAAGCGATGCATAGGCCTAGATGAAGCAAGTAATGTATAGAGAAATGGATGGTGAGCCGGATTCATTATAGCTTCAGCAATAAATGCTTACTGTCCTGGGATTAATGTTTGAATGTTTTCGAAGACAGGGGAAACAAATAATACTGATCAAACAAAAACTCCAAATTTGAGATTAATAAGACAAAAATGCTTATCGGCTATAATCATCGAAAATGTGTCCTTCACACACTGCTTGTCGTCTGCAAGCACTAACCGAGTCGTGGGGTAAATTAATCATTTCATTTTATAGCGATACAATTGGAATTGAATTGAATTGAATACATTTGTCACACACATTGGGCTGTATAAATATACAGTGAAATGCTCTGTGATTCTGCGTGCCTAAAAACATTAAAAAATACATCTAAAATGATCACACAAAAAACATAATTGTGTGTGAATGTTTCAATGCAACTTTATATAAAGGGTTGAGAAAATGTCTGAAATTTATCATTGCAATCACCATACATGCGATCATTTTGGGGTCCAGCCACTGTGATTATCAAATTGATATTTAAAATAATAAATCGCGAAAATGTATTATGACTTTTTTAATATACCATAAACTTATTAATTCACCCTGTATCGCATTGTTGAAGTAAGCGAGCGCAACGCTATGCCTAATCCTACAGATTGAAAATTTTCTTGTTTTTGCTTTATGACATATGGAAACACACAGACAATGACTGAGAGATAGAGTCCAAAATCTCTGCCTTGCTCTGAGGATTCGTTAAGTGTGTGTCCAGCCGTCAAGTAGATGCCATGTAATTTTTGATCCATCTTACAACGTCGAACACACGTCTGTGTTTACATAGATCTTCAGCTGCACCATGTCCTCTTGTATGAGTGTACAGTCCTCCATGGTTCCAGCTAAGAGATGTTTTGATAAATATAAAAGGCCACAGTGAGTCATATCGAATATTGCAAGTATCTGTATACAACCTGATTCAAAACTGGCCACCAAAGAGAAGAAAATTTGTGTCGGCGTTCATTCCTATGCCATTTCAGTCTGCGGTAAAGACGTGATTTTGTATGATAATTATTTTTGCCTAAATGCCAAGTCCAAGACATGGTTAATGTAGATTTGTTTGCGATATTCAATCATATAAGTGCCCAAATATATCGGATGACGAAATACATCCAAACCAATTTAAAAATAGGACAAGGCCTATGCTATAAACATGACAGAAAAATTAACACATATTTTGTGGGGAAACAAAATCCAAGACTCAGCCAAAGGTAGTATAAATATTATGATTAACAGTTTAGAACACCTAAAAACAAAATCTTTACGGCTCAGATTTGATGTCCAAAACATCCTCACTCTCATTATAAATTGGTGATGTAAAAAGTGAAATAACAAACGCCTACAATTAATTCAGGACTGACACTGAAATTAAACTCACCGTGCCGTAAAAATAGCTATTGAATAGGATAAATTTACATACATGAAAATAGTTAAGTTAAGTGAATCTCTTACACATTTATACTTTTTTGTAATACTGAAACAGTCGTCATATCATCCTACGATTCTTTTTATAATAGACATTTTTGTACATTTCCCAACACAGTTGGTGAGATAATAAGATTCAAGGCCTTAATTACCAGTACCGTGTGGCCTCTTGACATTCATTTTTTGACGGTCAATTTTATCGGTGGCATTGAAAACCACGACACAATGTAATACAATAAAGTTTGCTATAAAACACGATAAAATCTCGCACGCGCTCGTTGGCTGAATTGTAATTTGATTACAAAGCGATCGAGATTTAATTGCGAGGTGCACGTCCCTGTGAGAAATGTGCATAATAGACCACGAATTCTTTACTGCAAAATGTCATTGTATATTTCGGATGATATTCGTCAACCGGACTGTTCAAAGCTTGACAGCCTTGCTCGGTCATTAGGTAGATTGTATTTTTTTTCCTCATTTTTTTAAAATTAAAATAACTTAGCTTTTGTTCTTCTCAGATTTAAAGTAGCTTTCCATCTATCACTTGCGAATTGTCTAATTTGTTTTTAACATTTAACTTCCATGCTGGCAGTTAATGAAAATAGAACAAATTGAAAGATTCCTCACTATACTTTTAAGATTATGGGGGAATGTTCTTAAAGTATTTTCGTTTACGCGTTTTTGTGGCTTTTTTTTCGGTGGGGGGGGGGAGTAAACAATGCATTGGGGATGGCGGCCGCACCCCTTCTTTATCGATTCAGCGGTGCCTGACTTATCTCAGTCAAAAGCCTCGTATTGTTGAATAATATTCCTGTATTGTAATCGCCATAACACTCTTCATTAAAAAGATTATCATTTACCTATGGATATATTATATAACGGCAAGCTAATAGGCTTATCGGTTGATATTGATAAGTAAAGTCTCAACTTTCCTGAAATAAAAATAATTCCATCCTTATTTGCTATTCAAGAAAATATATATTAATGTTATGAGTGTATTTACATTTATATTAAGTGCATAATTTGATTAAAACATATCGTTCACACTGTTCATTGTTGCGAAGTTATTTTTTCTGGTCCCTGAGACTTTTGAAGGTGCGTTCGAACTCAGGGCTACAAGGGAAACATGGTGTTGGGATGACCATGAGTGGCTTGGCTGGCTTGAGTATAGAGACACCTGTGAGGGGTAGGGTCGCCTGCATGCCACGACTATCCTCAGCTTTCAAGCGAGCTGTGGCTGGGTGGACGGGCCGTCCCCTCTTGCCAGAAAACCGTACGTGTAGCCTGCCTCGTCGCGGGAGAAGAACCTTGCTGTCCTGGCTGATGTCCTCTCCTAGTACCTTGTATCTTGAGGATGGATGTTTCAATTGCAATGATTGGTTAGCACGGTGAGCAGCCCAGTTGTTTGTAAGCCACCGGTCATCCACGATCCGAGCTCCCCCGAAGGAGACTTTCTTGCCTTTGTTGTTTCCCTCAGAGCCGGTCACATCGTCGTCTTGACGCCCATGCTCTCCTGCTCGTCCTGCCTCCTGCGTGTCTTGTGATGCTCCCCGCGGTTCCTTTGACTTGGATTGGTTCAGCTCTGCAGGTATTCTAGATTCCTTCCCGTGGATCTGTTTGGGTATCGGAGGGAGTCTGTTTGATGTCACCATGAGTGGTGGCTCGGAGTGTTTGTAAACTTTCCCCTCATCTCCGATCCGACAGCGTCGCAGCCGGCAGATGACACCAGCATCGTCAACGTCCTCCCCACATTTGATCTGTAATGTACCAGTTGGGTGTCTGCGATATCTAGTCTCCTCAGACCCAGTCCCATCGACCAGATGACAGTCTTGACAGATCTGCTCCCTGTGTCTTACCGTACGTCTTAAGGTTTGACTCGCCGTTTCTTCTAGTTGCCTCGTCGAGGATGCATGCAGGAGCCTCTGCGGTGTGCGGAATTTATAATTCTCGTACATGGAGCAAATTTTGACTAAATCTTCGCCCTTCATGCTGGGTTGATATCAAGCCGTCTGTACTTATAGGACGTATACGTGCATCCTCCTCAGCCGACAACTCAAGTATGTCGTCATCTCACGGTTGACTACAGTGACTTGATGAGCGATGTTGCTGTAAACTCCTACACGGCTGCACGTGTCTACGCGTCATCCCAGGACACTTGGCGCGCATATCTCGGTTGTCATTATCCATCGGTTCGTCCTCCCTGCCTCCTCTCCTCACTGATTTCGTCTTAATGATGCATATTTCTTCCGAGGGGGCCGCATTCCTGTCTCAAGATACATACAACGGAAACCTCATCACACGCCTTATATCACTAATTACATCTCCCTGGGTGCTTACATGTTCCAGAGCTATAGCATAATGAGTTCCCGCGGTATTATGCAAGGCCGAATATGCATTTGATCCGCTATCAACGATAGTGTTATAAATGCTTGAAAAAAAGCTAGGATTACTACACGATTGAGAAAAATATGTATCACGCAACGAATTAACTAAAGACGATAAAGATAAAATAAAAACCAGCTGTGGTATAAACACTAAGATAATTATTATTATTTATTTCCAACAAAACCTCCATAATAGGAGAGGACAAAATACAACATATTAAAATAAAAATTATACAAAACTAGGTCACAGCGAAATACCTGATAAAAAAACATAAATATAGAAATAATGTTAAACATTGTTTTACCAAAACATCTTTCAACCTTTTAATGTGATGAAACAGTATCCTCAACATCTACAGAACATCAGTAATGCAATTTTTTGTTATAATCAGTGGCACGAGACTCCCGGTACGGCAAGATATTGAGTCGCGCATGTTATGGAACAGGAAAACCGTATTTTTTGTATATATCAACTCAATAGTCTAGTACGCGTACATTCGTCAAAAGGCGAAAAGCAAAACAAAATTGGAAGACAGAGAGACGATTTAAGAGTGAACAATTAATGTTTGGCACCAAATCAAATCGAGCAAAAAAACCTCAACTTATCCCGGTGCTCGGATGCTGTACTTAAACACTGGCCCAGTGTTCACAATTTTCATACTTGATTTTTATTGCATATTTGATATGATTTATCAGCATCTCCACCAGGCTCTGAATATTGACGTCGGACACACAGAATTCTCTTTTAATAATGTTACTTTCCATGACGGTAGTAAATGAAGACTAGTGATGGTCAGACACGACCCAATCCTTTAATGCACCGTTTAGTATTCTTTCACACGTACAGCATATTTTTTTAATTATAATGATTGTGTTTTTTAGTGCGGTACAAATTAGAGCCCTGCTCCGGCCAGGCAATAAGCCCCGCACTGCAGGCTGCCTTTCCGCCCCACCCAAATCCAACCTCATCCCTGTTGAGAACATATCTTGCATCGTGCTAATTAAATGCGAAGTTCTCTCATACTCACCGCCATATCCAAAGTTACATGCGATCGCAAAGTACTGAATGCAGTTACAAAATTTAAAATCTAGTCCAAAGATCTGCAATCAAAACTTAAAGAGTATTTTCCCCCCATTTTTTGTTTGTTTGTATTCATTTTCATTTGTTGTTACAGTGTTTAATTATTGTTATTTTTTGTTTTATTTATTATATATGTATTAAACATGTGTATTTGACTTAATTATTTCCCGTCATGTATCTTACTGCCAGTTACTGAAAAGCTGGAATCAATACAGAACGTATTTATAACTCATACAACGCCCGCTCCGATCCAGGGGTCATCGTGACGTATATAATGACGTATATGCAAATATCAAGGCAAAACACGACAAACAAAATCACAAATTGAATAGTACAGACAAACGCCGTTATCAACAAGATGTGTTCCAATCGTTAACAACGTGGCATTGAACACAGCAGATGAGACCCTCTTCAAAGCAATCAACCTGAAATGTGTGCTTCTTAATTACCGACAAAACAGCTCCTTAATTTCAGTTAAAAATGCGAATACTTTCCCATTCAATCCCTAGCATTACATCTTATATCATTTCTATAATCTGTACAAATTTATGGTCACTGCCGATGGCATTCTTAAAATGCTTATATATTACAATTTGAAGGTTGAAATTCAAAATAACTGAATAATTATTTGAAAAGAAAATGACAATGTTTCATAAAAGAGAAGCTTCATTCATTTCATGCAATGTAAACTTATCATCATACCTCTACCGATAGAGGGCGGTATACTTCGGCGTCACATACGTTTTCGTTTTCTGAAATTTTCAACATGGCGAAACATCATCCTGATTTGATTTTCTGCAGAAAGCAGGCTGGTGTGGGTGAGTTGCCGTGAATTATGAATTGATTATTATGTTCAATTAATAACATATAGTTGTGTATAAATTGTGAACACAATTTAACAATAAATTGAAGAAACAGTGGACGAAATTTATAATACGCAGTGTGTCCAGATTTCGGACATGTCGGACATGTGGGACCAGTGGGATTCGACAGCACTCGCCAAAGCCTTTTCCCAAATTCCACTGTGCGGGCGCACATCATCATTATATTCAACTACATCATTTATTTACTTTCGAGAGATAAACAAAGCATATAATGCACACAATACTGTGGAGAGTATTGGATACTAAAGACATGAATCTGGGACTTACAAACATTTCCAATTTTGTCAAGGAACACTTGGAAAATTGACTTCACTCCCCATCATGTCCATAATACTAATAATAGTAGACATTGTACATAATAGTTTCTAAATGGAAGGTTGTCATTTCACATATTTTGAGGGAAGCTCTTAATTTTCTGTTTACAGCAAAAAACTCACAACTGACAATTGATTTTTCCTGTTCTATGTGCTAGCTATTGGCCGTTTGTGTGAAAAAGATGACGGCAAGTGTGTCATCTGTGACTCGTATGTACGTCCCTGTACATTGGTACGCATATGTGATGAGTGTAACTACGGATCGTACCAAGGGCGCTGTGTGATTTGTGGGGGACCAGGCGTGTCTGATGCGTACTACTGCAAGGAGTGTACAATACAGGAAAAAGATGTGAGTATCTTCACCTTAATCATCCCTATCCTTCAGGAAGAATTTTGCAGGATTGAGGAAGGTAGAGCCCAGCTACTATTTCTTCACTTGACAATAGAGCCTGCAAGTTGACCCCTGGTGGCGCACTTCCAGACCCCACGAAAATGAACATTAGCCTGTACAAGTCTGAGTTTTTAAATTTATTTTTAGAACATTGATTTCTTAAGAAAATGTCCCTTGGAAAAGGCCGTTGTAAAATTTTTGCTAGCATCTCAGTTTAAGGAAACTGAAAAATTGCACGACATCAAAGAGAAACATTGTGCCAAAATTTATAATGCATGCAGCTCTTTATACATGGTGAGTGGGAGCAATATCTTATAAGAACCCTGACCAATGAAACAAGGATAGCTGAACAAGTCAACATTTTCTTTATTCACCTATACAGAGGGACGGCTGCCCAAAAATTGTCAACTTAGGCAGCTCCAAGACTGATTTGTTCTACGAAAGAAAGAAGTACGGCTTCAAGAAGAGATGATATCACTTACAGGGAGACAACCATTTGGACCAATTGAGGACGCCTGCCCAGATAGGAACATTGACCGATTGATGAGCAGTGACCAGTTATGAATATCTGACCAGTTGAACCCAGTTGCTTTTTAGTAAATAATTCAAATAATGTCATGAAAAGATTGGACTGCATTGAGACTTCAAAGAGTTGTAATGAAAGTCCAGGCTTACATGAGATCAGTTCAAGAGTTTTCTGGTCAGTTCACATTGTTTCAAGCTAGCATGGCATTCAATTTCCTTGCATCTTCACTTTGAGAAGTACATATGGTCTCGTCTCAAGCGACATATGTTGGTATTGTTCATTGTGTGTATTTGTCTTGACTTTCAAATAAGATCACTCCCCTTTAGACTTAAAAGCACTGATAAAATTCCTAAAGTCCTGTTCAATCGCATTAGATACATAAACAGTTAAATATGTTTTGCTCTCTACCGCTCTTAAAATCTAAAATTAGTTCTAAAGAGTTCACATGTTTCACTTCAGACTAGCGTGACAAAACAACAGTGACATACAAGTACTGTAATGGAAAATCATTTTTGTTTATCTGCTGTACATATCAAGTTCACATAGGGTGAGGGAGGGGGTCGATACACATGTAGTGGTGTTGGTTTAGGGTATTTGTGTTACTTTTTTTTTTGTGCATGTATGGATGTGTTAACACTGCACAGGTCTCAATTTTTGGCCAATAAAAAAACACAAATTAAAATTTTAACTGGCATAACTTGAGTGTGCATGATTGAGGCGTCAAATTTTAACAATCCATAGAGATATCATCAGCTTTATAGGTGTAATCTACTATCTGTAATTTTTACGGTTTGTAACGTACAACTTTTGCAAACGTAAAAAAAAAAAAAACTACCAAATTATTATGAAATACCATAATAGTGTCAAGCATCCTGTGAAATCATGGCACCACAAATGTCCATATTCATGAGCAAAAGTGTGATATCATTTCAGGTGCTAATCTCAATGTTGCAATTATTTTAGCAGCAAAAGTTGCCGGCGAGAAGCATTGATATTCTACTGTCGTTAATGTTCTGTTGTGTGGTGATTCGCTGTGAGCAGACTTTTCTCACAAATGCTTCCAATTAACACATTTTTGGGTTTACTATTTGAACAGAAAACCCCTAAACTCAACAGTGTCGTCCTGAAATGACATCACAGCAACAGCGCCCTCAGTTGAAAGGAAAAGAACAGAACATTTTAAATGTTTCAAAAGTGCACTTTTTAATATAATTAACCAAAAAGGGATGTCAAACAGTTTGCATAAAACAGTAGAAAATGTGTTCCTAAGAAAAGTGTTGCCATGAACCCTTTAAATACATGTAAAGGAGCTTTTACGGTAATCAAACTTACAATAGAAACCATGGTCTCAATTTTTGGTCTCGTGAAACTAAGAACGACAATCGAAAAAGGAGTTCTCGATATTCTCAAAATGATATGTCTTTATATCTCTTGTAAAATAACGGAAAATAGAAAAATAGAAATCGTTGGTGTTTCTTCATTTTAAATTTAATATAATACATTGTTTCCATGTCTAAATTAGACAACGTTAGACATCTATGTTCAAGAAACTTTTAAGATACAAATCAACATCGAGGAAATAAATACGAAATGAAGTTGCTCTTTCAGTTGAACTCTGCATTATAAAGTGCCACATTGTGATTACAAAACAACTTGTCTCGCTGGATATAGGTCTCATAACGAGGGTTGCCCGCCCTCATATCCCAAAAGGGTATTCAAGGATTTTACTTTCTCATTACTGGCAAATGTTTCACTGTTTCCCCGACAGGAAACTTCTTCGGTCAGCCATTATCTTTTCTGTAAACCTCTCTTTATGAATATAATATTCAGTAACGCGCAATAATTATAATTAATGGAACTTCAAAACCAAACAAAATGAACAAGATAGAACAAAATTGAACAATTTTCCTTTCAATCGTGGACGCTCTGTTCAGAGATTTGTCCAGGAAAAGTTCATCTGCGTAAGTTGTGCAAACTCCTGGTTATAGGGCCGGAAGAAATCCCTGAGTTGTTGGATGACGTTGGGACCGAGGTCTGCTTTAGGTAGAAACCCAGGGGTACTTGGGTGTGGGCAACCGGACCGCATACAAGGCGCCTGTCTCTTCTTATCGTAGTAGAACATGCTCCTCTTGTAAAATGACTCCAGACCCAGAAACTTCTCCAAGTTCTTGAGTTCACCGTACAGGTCTTTATCCACGCGCTCATGACTCAATATAAAGAATCGATCTCTCGGAAAGCTCTGCAACCACCTCTTGAAATGCATGGAGTAGACACTTTCTCTTGTCAATCCTTTGGACATATCTACCTCGCCATAACGACTGAAAATCATTTCTACGAAGTGTTTGGCTTGTGTGGCAGGCGTTTCGCCTCTGGCCATGGAGGGGTTGCGATTGAGCTTCAACTCATATTCGTGTCTGAAGTCCGATATGGTTCTCTCCACGGGATCCCGCACGCATACCACGAACTTGACATTGGGCGGTAGATCCTTCAACATCCTCTGCGGTACATTCTGGAAGACGAAATATGACGGTGATTTCTCAAACTGAAGCATGTTTCGTGAGCTAAACCCCATTCTAGATCGGTAGTAGTCTATGCCGCTTTCGTAGTCAATACTGAAGTAATGTATTTCTTCCAGTAATGCGCGAGCAATCTGTGGATGTTGCACAAGGTAGTACAAAAACGCTGTTGTGCCGCCTTTTTTTACTCCAAGGCAAATGACTGTAGGTAAGCGTTGTTCATAGCCCAGTTGGCGCATGCCGGCTCTGAGCACGGCCCATTTCTTTTGATCATTTAAGTTTGGCCAAATAACTGTAGCCTTCTGCTTGTCATATTTCAGTCCCGTAATGTTCGCGAAGGATGCCTTAACATCTGGGGACATAAACCTGAGTGCATTTCCCAACAGTTGGGATGAGGTGATGGAGTAACGTCCGCCAGTACGAAGAGGGTTAGGCAGAGCAACTGGTTTAGTTTTAGGGATGTAAAGCCTAACTGGTGGGCTTTCCTTGACGATCATTTTCTTGACGATCACTTTCTCGTCCTTGACGATTGCTATATCATCCTTGACGATTGCCGTTTTATCCTTGGCGATGGCCGTTTCATCCTTGACGCTCCCGATCCCTTTTTCATCCTTGACAATCGCTGTTTCGTCCTCCACGTTCTCGTTGATGATGGCCTCCTCGGCTCGGTCATTCTTCTCGTCTGTTTCTGAATCAAGACCAGGTATCTTCTCACCGTGATTTACGTGCTTTGCCTCGTAAATCGTCCAAACAGACTTGCCACCTGTCTCTTCTATTTCTGAATCAGCTGCAGAAATCTTTTCACTGGGGTTATCCCGGTCGGATCCAGCGGAACCAATGTCGCTTTCTTTCTCGTAGCGGCTTTTTATTTTGGCAACATCAAAACGGCTGACTGGGGCCACGCCTCCCCATCTCTGATATACAAACCATTGGTCTGGTTCGAATACAACCAGAAAACGACCGAGTGTGAAGGATGCTAGACACAGTAAGAATACAGCCCCCTTGGTCTTCAGACTGCTTGAAGACATGGTGAAGGTGATTCTCATCAACTTTGGCACAACCTGGAAGAGCAATTTCATATCATTTCAATATGATTTTCAGATGTTATTTTCATTTAACTTTCCCTAGGGCTTACGGTAAATTGGTTTGTAAAGCGGCTGTGGTGTTTGCCCAAAGACATCAGCCCAGCTTGAAGTTGAGGTATGGCTTTGTGTATGGCTTTTATCAACTTGAATGTTTCCTGAAAGTCACCTCTAAACTGCATTAATAAAATAAAGTGGAAATAGAAAGAGGTAAATTCTGGTACAACCATGCATGCAGGTGCGGACAAATCCATAAGACGATGTTATTTATTAAAGGCCAAACAAAGAAATTTGTGGTTATTACAAAGAGTCGTCGTTACGTAATGATCAGTATCTGCAGCCCTATCAATGTACACGAACATGTATTCAACATTCACCTGACCATTGAGACATTCTTTATGAACTGGCCAGCGGCATTAGACCTATAGACTACAGGCCGAGTACAAAAAAAAACCCCAAAATGGCTGGACCATTTTTTGAATGAAGTGCTTCAAAATGTCCGTAATTTGAAACGTATATGAGTGATTTGAATGATTCTTGTAATTGTACTAAAAGAAATCTTAATGACTGTGCTTTCATATCCTAGATTTTAAAAGTGCTACAGGCAGACAGGCAAAACTTCATTCAAAAATTGGTCCTGCCATTTGGGTTTCGGGTTTTTATAGTCACCCTGTATTATAACGTTTATCGGGTAGTAATACATGGCAACAACCATGAGCAAGCTTACCTGTGTCAAGGTATAAACAAGGTGACAAACAGAACGCACCCTAGAAAGTACCAAGAATCATTCCTCTATCTATGTAAGAAGTATACATGTAGCTGGCTGCGTGTTAATTAATGAGCAGGTACGGACAGCCGCTGTACATGGTCCGGCACTAGGCTACTGTTGTAGTTGTGCGTCACCTGAGCATCCTCCGTGGTCGGAGCTTAACACTCAGGGGATGATTAACCATTCTAACAAACAACATCAATAAGTTAAATCTGTGGAATTCCATTACTGCAAAGTACGCGGCGCAAGGGTGGTACTTTTGCCTGGGTACGTCCTCATCAGTCACTTGCGCCGTCAACTGCGCATAGTCGCGTCGTGCCGATTATCGCGTTGTGCCCTGGCATTGTCGAGTCGTGCCGTCGCATTGCGCACTGTCGCATCTTGAGTGAACTGTCCAGAGTTTTGCCAGTAGATGACAACAGGTATATAAAGCGCCATGGGTAAATGACTTTTTTAACAACATTATAATATAATTCATTATTTATTATATAATTCAGTTTTCGGCTTATTTATTATAATCCATTATTTACACATCATGCTTTTTTTCTGGGACAATTATATATCAATAACTGTTTGACAGTTTTCGTGATATGTAAATACATAATTTGTTACAAAGCACTGGACAATTCACTCAAAATGCGGCAATGCAATGCGCATCAACAGTACAACGCAACTATGCAACGGCACGACACGGCCATGCGATTTTGTGTGTGTTTTTCTTTGGATGGGGCCAATAACTCTTAAGTCTTAAGGCTCTTGAACTTGTTTGCTTATTCCATTTTGGGTTGTTCTGGATGTAGATACCCAAGTACTTGCATTATGAGATGTCTTCAAGATTGATCCACTTGTTGTTTTTACCCCTTGCCGTTACAAAATAACCCCAAGCCGTTTGGCCTAATTAACCCTATATCCACCTGAGCGAACGTATGCGGCCGATAGTTGTTACACCTTGATTAAAAAAAACAGTGAGCCAAATAAAGGTAAGAAATTATGGTCTGCACTCTTTCGCAACTTCGTCCCCAGGGTTCACTTTATTTTAACTTCTTTTCCTATAGTATATATACGAGAGTGCGTACTGTTCAACACTACGCAAACGAGATTGTACTTGACACTGTTAATTGTGAAGAGCGCCACCTGTTGTTTGATTATCATGACCATATCTCTGCTTGTGTGTCTCAAAAATCGTTGGAGCAGCTGCAGCACTGCTCTAGCTGCACTGAGACAGCTCGATGTACCGGTCCGTGTGTAAGCGTAAGTCTAGACTTAATTTGTTTCTCAAGTTTCAACTTCCCTTCCCTTCTCCAAACTGAAAAGATTCCCATATCTGGACAAATTGACAATTACCACCATCACATACACAGAGCACACGAGCACACGTGGACATGATGGAATAGCAACCCACTAAAGGCACCATGCCACTCTCTCCACAATGATTGACGAAGGTCAGTCATGTCAGTCGAATCTGTCAGTGTCACCATGAAAGAAACTGAGAAACATTTCCAATTTTGTTAGGAAATACTGGGAAATTTTCTTGACTCTCCGTAGACGAACACAACCTATTCGTGTTTAATACAAATCACACTTACAAATTACTGAAACAGTCTGCACCAGGATATCTCTCCTCTCCTCTGAGTTCTCATATTCCAGAACTGTTCTTACTTCCTCTGTTCTTCTGCTGGAGAGTCTCTAGTGTCCATAAGTCATGTAAACAGGCTAGTGACAGCGCATTCTCCATTACCACCCCCGCTTATGGAATAGCCAACCCATCCCATCAGAAATTCTGGCAGTGTTTTGTCCTTCAAAAAGTCTGCCAAGACATGCAAGATCCATCTTTTCCCAAAAATCATGGCTGTTCTCTTTTCTTGTCTTTGTTTAACATTGTACATGTACTTGTTCTAGAATTAGAAGTCCCTGTGTGCACACAATACTTTCCAATTCTAGAAGTAAGCACCTTGCATCCTTTGGCAATTTGGCGCTCTATAAATCCAGTTATTATTATTAATATGACCAGAAATTAAAAAAACAAAAACATGTTGGTCCTAGGCCTAGTACTTTTTACTAGCAATAATAACTTCTTACTTTTCAATTGCAGCCCAAAATCAAACACAACATGGAGATGGATCTTCATTTGGAAGCACAAACCACTCTGCAAACCACAGGGTCTGAGTCCGTTAACACAGACAGTATGGACATGGAACATGGAGAAAGCCCAGACAAGGAGGCTACTAGTAAGAGTGCCACAGAAACCAGGGGTGCTACACCTGAAACAATACGGGAAGGCCAGGCTACGATCATCTTCCCCTCATTGAATGAGGTGTTCTACAATCCTGTTCAGCAATTCAACCGAGACCTGACGTAAGTTGAGTACACTACACACTCAAGATGTGCACACAACCAATCAAGGCTTTTTGCTGTTCATTTCTGTTACATTCATGCTGTGTCTATGTTTTCAATTTTACAGTATTGCTGTTATTAGTGTACACGCTGAGCTACAACTTGCTGCCAAAGGATTGAAAGGTACAATTTAGGATTTCATTGATCATTTTCTTTTGTGTGTATGTGGAAGAGGAATCCAACAGAATTCATGTTGTTCAATAACAACAATTTGTAGTTCTGCATGGATGGACTCAACAACCCTTGCTTAGCAAACTTTGTTGGTGGCTTGTTTTTAATTTCCTTACAGAAATAGGAATTTCATAAATTCACAGTAAGAAGGAGAACTTGTTTACTTTTCAGTTTCATATGAGCCCAGAAATCAAGAGCCTGACACAGCCGACAATGGTGCAACGTCAACAGAAGGAAGCAACGACCCTAGCGTGGCAACAGACACCTATCGTCCCGGTGAATATTGCCAGGTAAATTAGACTGGTAGAGGATACCTATCCAGTACAAAGTGTCTTGATAATGTGCAGATATTGTGAACTAATTTTGCATGCACAAATTTTGTTCAAAATTTCAAACACTCCATATTCCGATTAAATAGTAAATTGTGCGAGAAACAACTTTCTGTTTCTAAGTCTACACATTTCATTGTTGAACATGTGATGCATTGTTAGTCTCTGTATTGCACTCAGTGAAATGGACTTATATTTTGTACTTTTTTTTAAGTTGCAAACAGCAGGGCCAAAAAAAATAATAGTTCTGCTTCCGGTTACCCTACCTGCCCCATTCTGACAGCCCCTACCCAATTTTTTTTTTGGGGGGGGGGGAGTGGGGAAATGAGGAAAACCCCCAGAAACCATCAATTACCTTTTACACTTGACTCCACACAGACACCTCCATATGATAGTACACAAAAAACAATTGCTAAAAAACTTCCCTATCTACCAACCCTATCTTCAGATATGTGATCGGAAGCAGAACTATATTTTTTTGGCCCAAACTTATTAGCTAATATTCAGTCAACTTATGAGTCTGTGACAAACGTCAAGCCGTAGTTGAATCTTGAACTCACTTGCGCTACTCAGAATTCAAGTGTGTATTATCTGTTCTACATAGTAACTGTCAAACCTGGACCATATGAGGGATGTTTCCATAGACTGCCTTACACACTGCTTTAGATGCCTTTTTCTTATATTCCTTGCATTTAACCACTCTTACCGCTCATAGGGTTTAATTTAGACAGCAATATAATTCTTTTGTTTAAAAAAAACATGAATTTCAGGAAGGCCTGTGTGTTCTAGAGGGTTTGTCTGCTACCGGGCTGAGAGGTGTACGATATGCCAAGGAGATCCCGGGATTAAAAAACATTGTGGCCAACGACTGGAATGTCGAAGCATTCAAAGCAATTGAACGGAATATACAACACAACGGAGTAGAGCACCTTGTCACTGCAAGCCATGCTGATGCATCGTAAGAGTTCATTGATATCCCGTCACTAGACAGGGTTAGGGAAATTTTCATAGATACACTTTGTGAAGTAAAATTTCCCCAAGAAATTGTCTTGAACAGAACCTGAGGTTTTAACTTGAGGTTGTCATCAATTGGCTCCAACTGTCATTTCATGATGGTCAGAGCATATCAACCAACATTTGAGCAGTTTATCTTCTTGTTTCAAAGGGTGCAAAAAGATACAACCAGAAAGCACTCAGAGAGCACAAACCTCCGCCAAGGCTGAACATTTCCCCGCCGTATTGTCTGTACACCCAAAAAGAATAATTACATAAATGGCGAAGAATGCTTAAAAAAATCCTGGATCCAGACCCAGATCCAGATCACTTCCAAAATCTAATCGATTTGTGCGTGTACCAAGGACCACCCCTAAAAATATCATGCAAATCCGTCCATAATGTTTTGAGTTATCTTTTTGACAGAAAAAAACAACCAACCAACAAACTAACCAAATCCGATGAAAACATAACCTCCTTGGCAGAGGTAATAAATGTCCCAACAAAATGACCTAACACAATCACTTTTTAGCCGTCACATGCAGCATGTCAAATTCCTTCACTAACTTGGAAAGAACTTGCAGTACTAATTCGACTGAGCACAGCTATTTTTACTCAGAAAAATGGGACTTGTAAACATCCAGTGCCCAAACATTATTTCACCCTCTCTGTGTAAATGTTCTACAACTTGTGGTTATCATTCAGTGGACTTTATAAGAATTTCAGCTCATTATGTTTCCTGACAGGCTTCTCATGAATCAATATCGGCTGAGTGACCGTGTGGACGTTGTGGATTTAGACCCTTACGGCAGCCCAGCTAAGTTTCTGAATGGCTCAATGCAAGCTGTGAAGGACGGCGGGATTCTCTGTGTGACCTGTACAGACATGGCGGTGCTGTGTGGTAATCGTAGTGAAGCTTGCTATGCCAAATATGGAGCTATGTCACTCAGGACAAAGTACTGCCAAGAAATGGTAAAAAAAATTACTTCAGAATCATGTTTTTTTAATGTTTTTAGTAATTTGTGAAAATTTGTAGTTATCAAACAGAGGTGTTATTATTTGGGGTTGGGTAGGGGTGGTGATTAGCATAGGCCCCCTACTTAAGCTTAAGGCTTGTTCCCCACGTCCTATCCACCCCTGGTGTTCCCCATCTCAGTAGTGAAGCTTTAGTATCGTCAAGTTGGACGTAAAACACAGCCTTAGTAAAGCCACTATTTTTCTCTGAATACATGTCGATATTTTTCCTGCCTCTAACCCCTGAATCTGTATTGTATAACCTTTATCTTGGCAGGCCTTACGTATTGTTCTGCATTCCATAGAGACCCATGCTAATCTGCATCATCGATATATTGAACCTCTCCTATCTGTCAGCATTGACTTCTACATCCGACTCTTTGTACGAGTGCATACCAGCCAGTCAAAGGTCAAGCACTCGGCTGCGTAAGTTGCATTCCCTGTCAATTTCTTATCACTATAATGAGTCAGTGATGACCTTCTTAATTCTTTTGCTACCAGAGTTGCATAGTGAAGTCAATCACAAGTCAATTGGGAATCGAGTTACGTCTGTCAGAAGTCCATTAATACATACTGACCTGTGACTGACTTGTGATTACTTGTGATTGATTTGTGATGACTTGTGATTACTTGTGACTGACTTGTGATTACTTGTGATTGACTTGTGACTGACTTGTGATTACTTGTGACTGACTTGTGATTACTTGTGACTGACTTGTGATTGACTTGTGATGGACTTGTGATTGATTTGTGATTGACTTGTGATTACTTGTGATTGACTTGTGATTGACTTAAGTGATTACTTGTGTTTGACTTGTGATTATCTTGTGATTGACTTGTGACTGACTTGTGATTGACTTTTGATGACTTGTGATTGCTTGTGATTGACTTATGATTGACTTATAATGACTTGTGATTGACTTAATTTCAACACTTTATTCATTCATTCATTCCTGACCATGTTTTTGTGACCAACTTTTAAGCTATACCCCATGGCTTCTAGCCAAAGCAATGCCGCTTACAGTAAACCTTGCACAAGGAGCCCAGTCAATCATCATTGTGCACGGTTTTCCCTTTGGTGCTAAAAATTATCTTGTGAATGGAAAGCCAAGGGGCTCATAACGAAAGCTGCAGGGATATTTTGTTGGTGTGTTGGTTTTTTTTGTTTTTTTTGGCACCAGAAAGCAAAAGGATTTCTCTTTCAGTGCCACAGTGTGATGAAACAAAGTTAAACAAAAAAAACGCAAGTTGTGGTTGTATTTTGGGATTTGACTCTATTTTTTGAAACTGTTGTTAACCTTTGTTGATAGCAAGAAAGCTCTGGTGTATCACTGTGAGGGATGCGATAACTTCCATCTTCAGAGAATGGGCCGAGTGATTCCAATTGGGACAGATGCCAAGTAAGTAGGCTTACAGGGAACACTTTGAGTTTCCTTAACTCACAATTAATTATAACTTGTCAACAACAGAAGACAAAGTCAGAGACCCAATGTATGATTTCCTTGCCTCACAGTACAATTCATTTTAAATTGTCAGCAACAGTATAGTCTGGAAACCCAATGTATAATTTTTTAATTGATTTATAAAATTGTGTCGGGGTTTGGGGCATTTCCCCTCCCAATCTTCCCAAATCAGTGCCAAATGGGCCAATCAAGGGTCGAAATCCTCTCTGTAATGGTACCATAGTTTAGAAGGTTCTTTATCTGAATCAGCTGAATTTTTTTTTTCAGGAACTTCAAGTACAAGAATACGTATGGACCACCCGTCGGCACAAAATGTGAAAACTGCAACTCCAGATTCTTAGTAAGTATTCCATCGTGGAAGGAATTCTAAGTGACTTCACAATGTCTCCAGAATTACTTCAGTCATTATATGGCCAACAAATAAGTTTGTATTATTTTATACCTTTCTTCCTTATCCCCTTGTGGTTTAGATCAGAGTCCGAAGCCCAAACAGTGCCCCAAAAATTGGACCTAAATGCTCTGGAGTCCAAAATTAATCTTAAAAAAAAAAGATTAGATCCGAGTTCAGACTTGACTTGATTTGATTTGAATAGACGTATTTTAGGTTAATTTTTTTGTTGGGGGGAGGGGGGTCTAAACATATGCCCAGACTTGACAAGGTGAGATGTGAGTCTAAGACCATTAAGAAATCAAAAAGTAAACTGGAATTTTGTCTTGATTTTGTCAATTCACTCAAGTTTATACTTTCTTTCTGTAGCTAGGAGGACCGCTATGGGTAGAACCAATCCATGATCCTGACTTTGTGAAGAAACTCTTGTCACATGTCAACGCCCACTCAGATCGTTTCCATACCAGTCCAAGGATGAAAAGTATCCTGACACTCGTCAGCGAGGTAGGTCATTATCTTAACTGTGGTTCCTAGTTCACTGGTCTCTGTTGTCTTTCATTCTTATGTTCCTCCACCCCCACCCCACCTGAACCCCCATCCCCCACCCTAACCTCCATCCCTGACCCCATCCCCACCCTAACCACCACAAACTTGTGTGACCAATACCAGTATTCATGTGCAAAGTCTAGTAAGCAGATATCTAGCAACGAAAAGCGTGCAACAGGCCTCTTTAGACTAATGAAAGTACCTACATGGTATAACAATTATGAATTGCTACCAAAGTACTCAACAGTGTTGGTGACCTTTTGCATTTTCAAGTCTGAAAAAGGTACTTGTAAGTGTACTGTTTTCCCATATTTTCAGGAGCTTTTGGACTGTCCCTTCTATCACAAGTTCAGCCAGCTCTTTCATCATGTCCGCAGTGCCTGCCCGCCAATGAAGAAGTTCCGTTCTGCGTTGTTGAACGCCGGCTACCAAGTGTCTTTGTCACACATCACAGCTGAAGCCGTCAAGACAAATGCTCCTCATTCTGTCATCTGGGATATTGTCAAAGAGTGGGTAAGCTTGTCAGCTTTGTGTTTATGCCTATTGGTGCTATTCCCTTGTGAACTGGTGCCTCAGTCCCATGTTCTTGTGGGTCATTTTGCGAGTCAGGGGTTCAAGTCCAGCCTGGGGTTGTCCTGGCTAGTGTTACTAAGCGAGACACTCTGTCGCTAATTGCTTCTACTCACCCAGGAGTAAATGAGTACCTTTGAGGGCAGAGAGAAATTTCATCATTGTTATCTTGCAATAAACTAGAACTTTTTTGCAGTTCTTATTTAACACTTTGAAGTTGTTCCGAGAAACCAAATGCTAATCTGTGTCTTGTGTCAAATCAGACAAATCACTTCAAATCAAATCATGTTTGTCTGATAATTTTGCAGGTGAAGCAAAATCCCACTCCAAGGAAACGGAAGCTAGAGGAGGACTGCATCAGTAATGTCATATTGAACAAAGAGGCAAGGTATGTATTAAAAGTCACCAAGAAGTCAGACACTTTTTCAGACACTGGCCAAGATGTTGACGCAATTTTCATAACTTCATTTAAGGAATGAGAAATAGGGCTTTAAAAAATCCTGAAAGTATAAGTTTTGATTCAGTCATTCTGTTGATGGAATGAGTATATTCAAATTGATAGACCTGCCAGTTTGCAGCGTCATCATGTCGAGGTAGCGGAAACAATAGCACCTCGGGTACCATAGATCCCCCTCCTCTAAATGCAAGCATCCTCCATCAATGGGTGAACCTTGGGTGAATCTGGCAGCCATTGTCCGTCCAGATTTCCTTTCGTTTTCTCACCTGCCTCCCACAATGCAACACAGTAAGTACAGAATAGCATCATTACGTCTCAGCTTTATAAGTGTCTATCATTCTTGCAGAAAAGCTTAATGGGGATTTGACTTTTTATTTGTGTAGGATCACAGTGTCATTTGATGTCAGGCAGGACGCAATGCCGATGTCACACAAACAGGGAATGACGAGATTTCCTGCCAATCCAGCACCAAACTGGGGCCCCAAGGCCAGAGCTAAACCATCGTAAGTAAACAAAGACTCTGAGCTTGAACAATAGACGATGCGTTGTTACCTACTTACTAGAGTCAAGTGAAGATATGTCACATGCTCATTTTAGTTTATGAATGGTGTGAAGCGTGTGACATTTTTATCACCTAAATACTCAATATTCAGACTTATTTTGCAGGATCATTGCCCTGTATGCAATCCGGCCAATGATCATAAGTTCCAGTGCGTCTCAAAACTTGGAATGCCAGGAACACGTCTTTTTGAATAGTGGCCTATTATTGGCGTGTTAGCCTTGCTTATAAATAGCCTGTTGATCTGGTACAAGGTACCCTGTGGAGACATGTGAAGGGAACCAAAAAATAGGGAACAAAAGATTGTATACATCTCCACAGGGCAATTTCTATAGGTGAATACGTCTCCGCAAGGTTATCATGAAATAGACATGGATTTTACTCAAAAACTAGGAATTTCCAAGTTGTGTTGATCAGTTGCAAATTGAAGTATTTTATAAGTCCGAGTTTCAGCCCAGGAAAATTCTTCTGGGTAAAATAGGAGAATTTTGAAACTGCACTTTCAAACTCTAAATGGTAGTAATATTTTCCAGTATATGTGTAGTTAAACAACACAAGATGCTCCGTTTTTTTTATAAATTTGAAAGTAAAGGCCCTAAAAAAGTCCAATCAGGGTGTGAAAACACAAACAAAACAATCAACGTTGCCTTAGAACTTGGACAAATTACGTAAGCATACAGGGTCCGTTGATTGGTCATTAATCTGAATTTGTGAAATTCAATATTTGGCAAAGGTTTTTTGTAAGCCTTGCTTGCAGCTAAGAATGTTTTCTTTATATTTGCTTTGAATTTGAAGGTCTTCATCAGAAACTCTGGAGGAGAAGCGAGCAAGGTTACAGGACAAGCGAGCAAAGCCCAAGGAACCAAGAACACAGACTGAGACATGACCCCGCTGGAAAACTCACTGTCTCTGAGTTTGCTGTAAATATGAACAACTATGAAATGCAATTAAAGGCAATATACAACATTTGCTTTTGCTGTAATTTTCAGAAATGAGTGGATTTGGGGGTTAGTATTTTAAAACAAATATTGTAATACTGTCTTTTTTTCCCGTTTTTGGTTGGTAGATGTTGGAAAAAACAAGAAAATCATATTCTTGTATATAATACCTGACCCCACTTAAGATGAAATGAAGCAATTTATAGACGTCAAGAATTGTTAGGTCAGGGAATCAGTCTAGCTGGCTTGTACCTGTTCACAGGTGTTTAATCAATTGCAAAGAAAATAAGGACTAACTCAATATGATTAATTTGGAGCAGTATTTGAAAGAGTCAGTTTGTCCAACGCTGGTCGGTTGACCAGCGTTTGGAAGTTGATACAACAATACAACTTTTCTTGAAAATGTCAGCACACTAAGTACCATGATTTTACAGGAGGCTTTAGACTGTCATTCACTAACAGTCCAGTATGGTTTTTTATGGGGTTTTTTTTGGGGGGGGGATGTTGCAAATGCATATTCCCTTTATCAGGAGTGGGGTATGTGTGAGTGAAAGTACAAAAACAAAATCAGGCTAGCTTTACACTCTTTGTGTGGCCAAAACAAATTGAACTTCATTTAGCAAGAGATGAGGTTTTGTGTGTTTCTCTAGTTGACTTTGAAGTCTCCTTCAGATGTATACATGTATGTCTTTTTCTTCGACCCGAAAGAGAAATTTAGGTTTCAATTTGAGGCATGTGACTAGAGTGGAATAGGAAAATGTATCGTAGCAGTTATTCATGAAAATCAGCCAAGAAATAATTGCAATACTGTGTCAAACTTTTTACAGGGAATGTACAACATTTGCTTTTGCTGCAATTTTCAGAAATAAATGGCTTTGGGGGAGTAGAATGTTATCGCAAATATTGTTAAACTGACTTGTTTCTTGTTTTGGGTTCGTAGATGCTGGAAAAACCAAGAAAAGCAATCTATTGTTTAGTCTGGTTCCCTGACCCCAACTTAGATGAAACGGAGCAATTTATAGACTTTGGGGAATTGTAAGGTCAGGGAATCAGTCTAGCATGTGTGCTCCTTAACTGGTATGTTATCGGTTGTAAAAGAATGCAGAATAACTAAATATGAAAAATTAGGAGCAGTTTTTGAAAAAAGCTATTTTTCTCCAACGCTGGTTGGCCGACCAGTGTTGGAAAAATAAAGTTTTTGGCCTCAAAATGTCAGCACACCAGGAACCACGATTTTACAGGATGCTTTAGACTGTTATTCCCTAACAATCCAGTAAGGTATTTCGTGATAACTTGATCATTTTGGTTTTTTTGACGTTTGCAAATGTTGTATCTTCCCTTTAATTTGTATGCTTGGGTCTTAGTATATCTATGACTGTCTTTATGCTGTATTTTTTTTAATAAGATATAATGCCTGTGCTATTTTCGAATTTGCTACAATACATTTTGTTTCAAGTTTTTTCTAAAAAGTTCTTCTTTTTAATGAGACATCACATAAAATTTAATGTACAAAGGGTCAGATGTCCAAAATTTACATAAAACTATTTGTTGAAGATCATCAAAAAAAATAAATAAAATATGACAAGCAACCTGTTTTGGCTCTAAATGTTGTAATGGCAGTTTTATCCATTTTTTTTATTGACTTGGATTAAATATTGGGAGTAATTAATTGAGCTTGTTACTGTGTTTCTTGTGGAGTGGTTAAGTTCAAGATTTTAATATGAAAAAATAATGCAGCATTTTCCATTTTATCAGAGTGATTCATTCAATTGTCTGGTAAATGTAGGTCCAATATTTAGTGCCCTCTAAATATATTGTTCGTGTACGTGCAAAGATTTGCAATGGAATAAAAAGAAAAAAGACAAGAAAATTGGGAACAAAAACAAAACTTTCTGCTGTTAAGCGGCAATTATTTGAGAAAAAAAGATACTTTATTCTAAGAATGTTTTTGCCCAAACATATCCCTCTCATTTGAATGTCATAAGATCCCCCCACCACCATGAAAAAAATCTTTGATTTTGGGAACAAAATTCATGTATCCTTAGGCAATATTTACAGTTTCATTGTTTATTTTTGAGAAAAAAAAAGTAACATAGCCGAGAATCGAACCAGGGTCGCTTGATTGCGAGTCCCGTGGCGTACCACAAGAGCACGACTCTTGCTGACTTTTAGTGCGTTCTGTATAATTATATCTCAAAGGTAGACTTCTCTTTAGCTTTGCACGTGGCCCATATGTACGCTTAGACGTAACGTACAGTCTGATAATGATAACACGAGTTTGATTCCGAGATTTCAGTAAATAAAAACTGATTCATTTGATCAGAATTTGATTGCAGAAGGTTAGAGGGTGTGAACTGAGTTAAAATCGTGATTTTCAGCGCACTTAAAGAGGAACAATACGTGTTTTGCATACGAAACACACGTGTTCAACGGATGCAGGGAAGGCCATTTCTTTTGTTAATTTTCTTTGTTGAATCTGGCGTTAACAATAAAATGTTTCCATTGAGGCGAAAGGATTAAACGCCGCTATCTTTTTCCACGCTTGAGTGCATCTGAATGGGTGTTTTTCAAGCGGAAAATTACGTATTACAGCTCTTATACAGCATTTTAACCTACAAAATAATACTTTTTGCAGAGGAAATTGAATACTGAACAAAACTGTAGTTTCAGAATGTAAAAATTCGCCGTATTAAGGAAATCGATGTCGAATTTTTTGGTTGTGCCAAGCAAAAACTTTCCGATCTCCAACGTAGGTGGCGCTATATATATTTCATCGACAGTGCATACTTCTCCAAGATACCTTCACTAAATCAAAGCCAGAATTTAAGAAAGGTCGCCCCTAGCGGAAGTTCCTCTGGGGGCGACAATAACGGTCGCCCCCAACCGTACAAGCATTAATATATACCGCTATGGGCGACAATATCGGTCGCCCCGAGCGGTATACCGCTAGGGGCGACAATAATGGTCGCCCCCAGCAGTACGCGCGTTAAGATATACCGCTATGGGCGACAATATCGGTCGCCCCCAGCGGTATATCGCTAGGGGCGACAATAATGGTCGCCCCCAGTAGTACGCGCGTTAAGATATACCGCTATGGGCGACAATATCGGTCGCCCCCAGCGGTATATCGCTAGGGGCGACAATAATGGTCGCCCCCAGCGGTACGCGCGTTAATATATACCGCTAGGGGCGACAAGAAAGGTCGCCCCTAGCGGAATTTCCTCTGGGGGCGACAATAACGGTCGCCCCCAGCCGTACAAGCGTTAATATAAACCGCTAGGGGCGACAATAATGGTCGCCCCCAGCGGTACGCGCGTTAATATATACCGCTAGAGGCGACAAAGGGCGCCCCCAGCGGTACAAGCGTTATACCGCTAGGGGCGACAATAGTGGTCGCCCCCAGCGGGCCGCGGTACGCGCGTTAATATATACAGCGCCACCATCGATACAAACGGGTAAAACGTTAGTTTGCTTCGAAATCTAAATATTCATTTATTCAAATTGGTGCTGAAAAGGCAAAGCCCTGGGACTGCAAAAGCTGAATGAAATGGCGTCTCCAGCTAATACCACACACCACGTGCTTCTTACGCCGGGTACTAGGCTTGTTTACAGGCGTTTTGCCTATCTCCTTGCGAAGCGCACGTGCATAGACTAAGCTAACAAAATAAGAACACCGTTTCGACGGATGCAAGGGAGTCTATTTTCTTTGTTAATTTTCTTTGTTGAATCTGGCGTTAACAATAAAATGTTTCCATTGAGGCGAAAGGATTAAACGCCGCTATCTTTTTCCACGCTTGAGTGCATCTGAATGGGTGTTTTTCAAGCGGAAAATTACGTATTACAGCTCTTATACAGCATTTTAACCTACAAAATAATACTTTTTGCAGAGGAAATTGAATACTGAACAAAACTGTAGTTTCAGAATGTAAAAATTCGCCGTATTAAGGAAATCGATGTCGAATTTTTTGGTTGTGCCAAGCAAAAACTTTCCGATCTCCAACGTAGGTGGCGCTATATATATTTCATCGACAGTGCAGTCACTGAGCCAAACAAGTTACAAACAAATTAGTTGAGGAGGGACACTGTCTTTTTTATGGAGGGGGAGGGGGGGGGGGAAGGGGGAAGGGGTTAAACACCAGATATAATACAGACATCAATTCATAAATTATTTGTTTCTGAAGCAACCATGACCCCATATTGATCAAGAGTCTCACTAGTTATTCAGGATCTACAATATTCTGAATTGGTAATGAGGCCGCGTTTTTTCAAACACCTTTTTTTAATGCACGTGTAGTATAATTTGCACGAATACTGCAGTTTGCTTCATAAATAGGCTACATAATTGAATGCACTTAATTTCTATTTTATATATATCCCCTCATACCCCCCCCCCCCCTCCGTCCAAACAAAATACAGTTTTGTAACCCCCCCCCCCCCCCCTCCCACTTATCAACTCCGCCATACCGTGATCACGGGTCGCCGGTCCCAAGCCAACCCACATGTTTCCCTACGCGCGCACAAAACTGATAAAATAGCCATCAATAATAATAGTGTTACATTAATTCTCAAACAATATTTCTGTAATGCCAATAGGTCTGTCACGGTACTCTCAATACGTCTGTACCCTTCCCCCTTCCCCCTAAAGAACCCGCCAACCCCGCCCCTTCCCGAGGTAAAAGTATGCTGTGGCAATTGCCAGTTTGATTTTCTCTGACACACGTGTGAATGAAAAATGTTTAGCGCCACCTACGTTGGAAAGTGGAAAGTTTTTGCTTGGCACAACCAAAAAATTCGACATCGATTTTCTTAATACGGCGAATTTTTGCATTTTGAAACTACAGTTTTGTTCAGAATGCAATTTCCTCTGCAAAAAGTATCGTTCTGTAGGTTAAAATGCTGTATAAGAGCTGTATTTCGTGATTTTCCGCTTGAAAAACACCCATTCAGATGCACTCAAGCGTGGAAAAAGATAGCGGCGTTTAATCCTTTCGCCTCAATGGAAACATTTTATTGTTAACGCCAGATTCAACAAAGGAAATTAACAAAGAAAATAGACTCCTTTGCATCCGTCGAACCTTGCGTACTTTTGTAATAGCCTATTACGCTACACGTGCGTCACATAGA